ATTGGGTCTGTTCTAGCCATCATGCTAGCGTATTATTGGGTCTGTTCTAGCCATCATGCTAGTGTATTATTGGGTCTGTTCTAGCCATCATGCTAGCGTAGTATTGGGTCTGTTCTAGCCATCATGCTAGTGTATTATTGGGTCTGTTCTAGCCATCATGCTAGCGTATTATTGGGTCTGTTCTAGCCATCATGCTAGTGTATTATTGGGTCTGTTCTAGCCATCATGCTAGTGTATTATTGGGTCTGTTCTAGCCATCATGCTAGTGTATTATTGGGTCTGTTCTAGCCATCATGCTAGTGTATTATTGGGTCTGTTCTAGCCATCATGCTAGCGTATTATTGGGTCTGTTCTAGCCATCATGCTAGTGTATTATTGGGGTCTGTTCTAGCCATCATGCTAGTGTATTATTGGGTCTGTTCTAGCCATCATGCTAGTGTATTATTGGGTCTGTTCTAGCCATCATGCTAGTGTATTATTGGGTCTGTTCTAGCCATCATGCTAGCGTATTATTGGGTCTGTTCTAGCCATCATGCTAGTGTATTATTGGGTCTGTTCTAGCCATCATGCTAGCGTATTATTGGGTCTGTTCTAGCCATCATGCTAGCGTATTATTGGGTCTGTTCTAGCCATCATGCTAGCGTATTATTGGGTCTGTTCTAGCCATCATGCTAGTGTATTATTGGGTCTGTTCTAGCCATCATGCTAGCGTATTATTGGGTCTGTTCTAGCCATCATGCTAGTGTATTATTGGGTCTGTTCTAGCCATCATGCTAGTGTATTATTGGGTCTGTTCTAGCCATCATGCCCGGCGGTCCTCATTCATGTGAGATGGGGAGAACAGTGCTTCATTTGGGGAAGCAGTGGGGAGGGAGGATTTCTCTGGGGAAGCAGTGGGGAGGGAGGATTTCTCTGGGGAAGCAGTGGGGAGGGAGGGTTTCTCTGGGGAAGCAGTGGGGGAGGGGGGGGGGTTTCTCTGGGGAAGCAGTGGGGAGGGGGGGGGGGTTTCTCTGGGGAAGCAGTGGGGAGGGGGGGGTTTCTCTGGGGAAGCAGTGGGGAGGGGGGGTTTCTCTGGGGAAGCAGTGGGGAGGGAGGATTTCTCTGGGGAAGCATGGGGAGGGAGGATTTCTCTGGGGAAGCAGTGGGGAGGGAGGATTTCTCTGGGGAAGCAGTGGAGAGGGGGGGTTTCTCTGGGGAAGCAGTGGGGGGGGGGGGGAGGATTTCTCTGGGGAAGCAGTGGGGAGGGAGTATTTCTCTGGGGAAGCAGTGGAGAGGGGGGGTTTCTCTGGGGAAGCAGTGGGGAGGGAGGATTTCTCTGGGGAAGCAGTGGGGAGGGAGGATTTCTCTGGGGAAGCAGTGGGGAGGGGGGGGTTTCTCTGGGGAAGCAGTGGGGAGGGAGGATTTCTCTGGGGAAGCAGTGGGGGGGGGGGGGGGGGGGATTTCTCTGGGGAAGCAGTGGGGAGGGAGGATTTCTCTGGGGTCTGTTACTGTGTTCGGTTTTTGTTTTCTGCTGCCAGACACTTTTTTTTATTTGAATACGTTCATGTTTAAGATGTTTTATTTGAAATGCTCTTGGATATAAATGTCAGGAAACAATCTTGGGAATCATTCGGATGTTAAAGGTGTCTCATTAGTCTTGTGGAATGTGCACGGTCTCGGGCATGTGCGTGAAAAGGGTATTTAAGCACTTGAAATCACTTGGTGATTTTATTTTACCTTTTATTTAACTAGGTAAGTCAGTTAAGAACAAATTCTTATTTACAATGATGGCCTACACCGGCCAAACCCGGACGACGCTGGGCCAATTGTGCGCCGCCCTATGGGACTCCCAATCACGGCCGGTTGTGATACAGCCTGGAATCGAACCAGGGGGTCTGTAGTGACGCCTCAAGCACTGAGATGCAGTGCCTTACACCGCTGCGGCACTCGGGAGCCCTAATTGGCTATTGTAGCTGGAAATGGCTGATTAAAAAAAAAAAAAAAATGGAATATCTACATAGGCGTACAGAGGCCCATTATCAGCAACCATCAGTCCTGTGTTCCAATGGCACGTTGTGTTTGCTAATCCAAGTTTATCATTTTAAAAGGCTAATTGATCATTAGAAAACCCTTTTGCAATTATGTTAGCACAGCTGAAAACTGTTGTGCTGATTAAAGAAGCAATAAAACTGGCCTTCTTGAGACTAGTTGAGTATCTGGAGCATCAGCAATTGTGGGTTCGATTACAGGCTCAAAATGGCCAGAAACAAATAACTTTCTTCTGAAACTCGTCAGTCTATTCTTGTTCTGAGAAATGAAGGCTATTCCATGCGAGAAATTGCCAAGAAACTGAAGATCTCGTACAACGCTGTGTACTACTCCCTTCACAGAACAGCGCAAACTGGCTCTAACCAGAATAGAAAGAGGAGTGGGAGGCCCCGGTGCACAACTGAGCAAGAGGACATACATTAGTGTTTAGTTTGAGAAACAGTCGCCTCACAGGTCCTCAACTGGCAGCTTCATTAAATAGTACCCGCCAAACACCAGTCTCAACATCAACAGTGAAGAGGCGACTCCGGGATGCTGACCTGCTAGGCAGAGTTGCAAAGAAAAAGACACACCTCAGACTGGCCAAAAAAAATAATAATATTAAGATGGGCAATCTGAGATATGGCTTTTTCTTTGCAACTCTGCCTAGAAGGTCAGCATCCCAGAGTCGCCTCTTCACTGTTGATGTTGAGACTGGTGTTTTGCGGGTACTATTTAATGAAGCTGCCAGACTTAATCAATTAATTTGGCAAACGATCTGGCTATTCAATCAATTGGGGAAAAGGTGATCTCGTGTTTCTCAGATAATGTCACTGCAAGTGAGTTAGAGAAAAGTGGTGCATGACCACTTAACTTACCTGGGACTTAAAATACCTAGAAATCCAAAGCTCATCTTCAAGTTTAACTGCAGTGAGCTTTGTTGCAAAGCTAAAACAAAACCATAGAGAGCTGGAGAATATTGCCCTTTTTCTATGATGGGGCGCATTAATGCCATCAAAATGGTTTCTCTTCCCCGGTTCCTTTATCTTTGCCTTGTTTCTTACCTCATCATTTTTTAAGACTTTAAAAACATTTATTTTTTTTGGACTCGACAGTCTTGTCATTTGTCTGGGGTTACAAAAACCATCGCGTTTGTAAAGCCCACTTGTAAAAGCCCAAGGAAAGTGGGGGCTTAGGCCTACCCATCTTTAAGCATTATTACTGAGCTGCAAATGCCAGGGCATTAACGTACTGCCAACTGGGTTTCCCTGATCAGTTGGACCCTGTGCCAGGGCATTAACGTACTGCCAACCGGGTTTCCCTGATCAGTTGGACCCTGTGCCAGGGCATTAACGTACTGCCAACTGGGTTTCCCTGATCAGTTGGACCCTGTGCCAGGGCATTAACGTACTGCCAACCGGGTTTCCCTGATCAGTTGGACCCTGTGCCAGGGCATTAACGTACTGCCAACCGGGTTTCCCTGATCAGTTGGACCCTGTGCCAGGGCATTAACGTACTGTCAACTGGGTTTCCCTGATCAGTTGGACCCTGTGCCAGGGCATTAACGTACTGCCAACCGGGTTTCCCTGATCAGTTGGACCCTGTGCCAGGGCATTAACGTACTGTCAACTGGGTTTCCCTGATCAGTTGGACCCTGTGCCAGGGCATTAATGTACTGCCAACCGGGTTTCCCTGATCAGTTGGACCCTGTGCCAGGGCATTAACGTACTGCCAACCGGGTTTCCCTGATCAGTTGGACCCTGTGCCAGGGCATTAACGTACTGCCAACTGGGTTTCCCTGATCAGTTGGACCCTGTGCCAGGGCATTAACGTACTGCCAACTGGGTTTCCCTGATCAGTTGGACCCTGTGCCAGGGCATTAACGTACTGCCAACCGGGTTTCCCTGATCAGTTGGACCCTGTGCCAGGGCATTAACGTACTGCCAACTGGGTTTCCCTGATCAGTTGGACTGTGTGGTTAAATATAGAAGTCAAGTCTGTATACAACAACAACAAAACGTGCCATCGTGTGTGTGCATATCAACATGTGGGGTGTGTGTACGGGCGACTGTTCGTTCCATAATGCAATTAGCAGGAAAACACCATTGTCAAAAGGGCACTGCACATCCTAGCAGTTTCATGTGTGAAATGTTGAGGTGATATAATAGGCTACTTTGAAACATGCCTCATAATACGGTATGTATTAAAACGTTCAGGTTTCAAACAATTAAGTATGTTTTCAAAATGCATACTGCCTCCAGCTCATTGCACAGTGGTGTGTGACGTGCTGATGAAGCCTGCCGTTTTTTATGCCGCGTTCAAAACAACTGGGAACTCGGTGATCTCAGACTTGTGACTTCAGTGCGTTCAAGACAACTGGGAACTGGGGGGGACAAACGAGCTCTGACTGGGGAGAAATCGTTTTGAATGGTCATCCAACTCAGAATTCCAACTAGGGAACTCTGGGCCTCCTTTCTAGAGCTCTGAATTTCCGACCTGAAGATCACACGTACGGTGTCATAAATAAGATACAGAATAAAAAATACTGTACACACGCACCAACTTAATTAACCTATGGACTGATAAGCATGACCAGTTTAATGTATTTCCATCGACTGGTATTTCTATCAGTGAAGAGGCTAAAAAGTATTATTTCACAATGGGATCTTTTTGTTCTTCTCCCGGGCAATTGGCCGGAGCAAATTGTATTTGTTGGCTTTTCTATTTTATTTTTGGACAAAAGCCGTCTGTTACCGGCTAACGGAAACCCTGGTATATATTAACATGTGATGTGTGTACATATTAAACATGCAGTGTGTGTGTGTGTTATCATGCAGTGTGTGTGTGTGTGTGTGTGTTATCATGCAGTGTGTGTATATATTAACATACAGTGCGTGTCCCCCCCCCCCTCTCCAGACGTGTGGTCCCAACCCCTGGCCTCCATTAAAGAGGAGCCCGCTAGCAGGGCAGGCAGTGAGCAGGGAGAGGAGGAGATGGAAGTGGACAGCACTGATGAACAGGAGCCCAAGACGCAAAGCCAGAGCCTCGCCTCCAAGATCCCCACTACAACGGCAGCCGGAGCCTTCTCCAACACCAGCACCCTGTCCACGCTCAGCAACCTACGACCAGGTAATGGTGGAAATGGTTTACTAAATGGTACCCTATTCCCTGGTGGGGTCCTGGTCAACAGGTGACTTGCAGTACATCAACAGACACTGACACCCAACAGTTACAGTGGGGAGAACAAGTATTTGATACACTGCCGATTTTGCAGGTTTTCCTACTTACAAAGCATGTAGAGGTCTGTCATTTTTATCATAGGTACACTTCAACTGTGAGAGACGGAATCTAAAACAAAAATCCAGAAAATCACATTATATGAGTTTTAAGTAATTAATTTGCATTTTATTGCATGACATAAGTATTTGATACATCAGAAAAGCAGAACTTAATATTTGGTACAGAAACCTTTGTTTGCAATTACAGAGATCATACGTTTCCTGTAGGTCTTGACCAGGTTTGCACACACTGCAGCAGGGATTTTGGCCCACTCCTCCATACAGACCTTCTCCAGATCCTTCAGGTTTCGGGGCTGTCGCTGGGCAATATGGACTTTCAGCTCCCTCCAAAGATTTTCTATTGGGTTCAGGTCTGGAGACTGGCCAGGCCACTCCAGGACCTTGAGATGCTTCTTACGGAGCCACTCCTTAGTTGCCCTGGCTGTGTGTTTCGGGTCGTTGTCATGCTGGAAGACCCAGCCACGACCCATCTTCAATGCTCTTACTTAGGGAAGGAGGTTGTTGGCCAAGATCTCGCGATACATGGCCCCATCCATCCTCCCCTCAATACGGTGCAGTCGTCCTGTCCCCTTTGCAGAAAAGCATCCCCAAAGAATTATGTTTCCACCACCATGCTTCACGGTTGGGATGGTGTTCTTGGGGTTGTACTCATCCTTCTTCTTCCTCCAAACACGGCGAGTGGAGTTTAGACCAAAAAGCTATATTTTTGTCTCATCAGACCACATGGCCTTCTCCCATTCCTCCTCTGGATCATCCAGATGGTCATTGGCAAACTTCAGACGGGCCTGGACATGCGCTGGCTTGAGCAGGGGGACATTGCGTGCACTGCAGGATTTTAATCCATGACGGCGTAGTGTGTTACTAATGGTTTTCTTTGAGACTGTGGTCCCAGCTCTCTTCAGGTCATTGACCAGGTCCTGCCGTGTAGTTCTGGGCTGATCCCTCACCTTCCTTATGATCATTGATGCCCCACGAGGTGAGATCTTGCATGGAGCCCCAGACCGAGGGTGATTGACCGTCATCTTGAACTTCTTCCATTTTCTAATAATTGCGCCAACAGTTGTTGCCTTCTCACCAAGCTGCTTGCCTATTGTCCTGTAGCCCATCCCAGCCTTTTGCAGGTCTACAATTCTATCCCTGATGTCCTTACACAGCTCTCTGGTCTTGGCCATTGTGGAGAGGTTGGAGTCTGTTTGATTGAGTGTGTGGACAGGTGTCTTTTATACAGGTAACGAGTTCAAACAGGTGCAGTTAATACAGGTAATGAGTGGAGAACAGGAGGGCTTCTTAAAGAAAAACTAACAGGTCTGTGAGAGCCGGAATTCTTACTGGTTGGTAGGTGATCAAATACTTATGTCATGCAATAAAATGCAAATTAATTACTTAAAAAGCATACAATGTGATGTTCTGGATTTTTGTTTTAGATTCCGTCTCTCACAGTTGAAGTGTACCTATGATAAAAATTACAGACCTCTACATGCTTTGTAAGTAGGAAAACCTGCAAAATCGGCAGTGTATCAAATACTTGTTCTCCCCACTGTATATCAACCTCCCGAGTGGCGCAGTGGTCTAAGGCGCTGCATCTCAGTGCTAGCTGTGCCACTAGAGATCCTGGTTCAAATCCAGGCTCTGTCGTAGCCGGCCGCGTCCCGGGAGACCCATGGGGCGGCGCACAATTGGCCCAGCGTCGTCCAGGGTAGGGGAGGGAATGGCCGGCAGGGATGTAGCTCAGTTGGTAGAGCATGGTGTTTGCAACGCCAGGGTTGTGGGTTCGCTTCAGTATGAAAAATACAAAAATAATGTATGCACTCACTCTGGATAAGAGCGTCTGCTAAATGACTAAAAAATGTAAAAATAATGACCCACTAATAATTTAATTATTTTATCAAAAGAGTTTAACCTGTTTTTTTTGTTGCAATAATCACTGATCTGGCTTTCAAGTCGGTCTATAAAAATGCAATTTTTTGTTATAATGTAACTAGAACCATCCATAAACACATTCACTAATAATGACTAACTTCTTGTAACAGGCATTAGCCTGTAGAAAATGAACACTGGTCTCATCAACAATCTCTCAAGCCCACGTGCTAGTGATTAGCCAGCTAATCTTTATATTTCAAGTTTAGCCAACTTGGATCTACAGTATTTGCTAGCTAACAAGGTAGAACAGTTGAATTATGAACACACCCTTCTGTCTGTCTCGAATTTGCCAATCTTGGTGTTCTCTGGCAAATGCCAAACGTCCTGCACGGTGTTGGGCTGTAAGCACAACCCCCACCTGTGGACGTCGGGCACTCATACCACCCTCATGGAGTCTGTTTCTGACCGTTTGAGCAGACACATGCACATTTGTGGCCTGCTGGAGGTCATTTTGCAGGGCTCTGGCAGTGCTCCTCCTGCTCCTCCTTGCACAAAGGCGGAGGTAGCAGTCCTGCTGCTGGGTTGTTGCCCTCCTACGGCCTCCTCCACGTCTCCTGATGTACTAGCCTGTCTCCTGGTAGCGCCTCCATGCTCTGGACACTACGCTGACAGACACGGCAAACCTTCTTGCCACAGCTCGCATTACATTTACATTTTAGTCATTTAGCAGACGCTCTTATCCAGAGCGACTTACAGTTAGTGAATACATTATTTTTTTTAAATACTGGCCCCCCGTGGGAATCGAACCCACAACCCTGGCGTTGCAAACGCCATGCTCTATCAACTGAGCTACATCCCTGCCGGCCATTCCCTCCCCTACCCTGGACGACGCTGGGCCAATTGTGCGCCGCCCATGAGTCTCCCGGTCGCGGCCGGCTGCGACAGAGCCTGGATTCGAACCAGGATCTCTAGTGGCACAGTTAGCACTGCGATGCAGTGCCTTAGACCACTGCGCCACTCAGGAGACACATTGATGTGCCATCCTGGATGAGCTGCACTACCTGAGCCACTTGTGTGGGTTGTAGACTCCGTCTCATGCTACCACTAGAGTGAAAGCACCGCCAGCATTCAAAAGTGACCAAAACATCAGCCAGGAAGCATAGGAGCTGAGAAGTGGTCTGTGGTCACCACCTGCAAAACCAGTCCTTTATTGGGGGTGTCTTGCTAATTGCCTATAATTTCCACCTGTTGTCTATTCCATTTGCACAACAGCATATGACATTTATTTTCAATCAGTGTTGCTTCCTAAGTGGACAGATTGATTTCACAGAAGTGTGATTGACTTGGAGTTACATTGTGTTGTTTTTAAGTGTTCCCTTTATTTTTTTGAGCAGTGTATATTGAATGCAATAACATAAATTACCGTAACCGAACAAATATTGTAGTTTAGAAATTATGGGAATTAACGGTAAATGTGCTACTGGTGATATATGTAATGGGGAATTTATAGACACTAACCATCAAAGGGCCAAAAATTCACACAATGAAGTTATGAACACACACAAATGGGCAGGAGAGTGCATTCTGGAGAGGGACGCGCCTTCTGCATCTAAGCCACACTCTCGACACATTATCTTTACACATATAGTAGGCCTGAGGAATACTCTCACAAACTGTGTCGGATCCAAAGCAGTAGCCGTTTATTTAAAACCAATGCAATTTAATTGATTTTCTCAATTTTATCAAATTGCTGGGTGTGCCAAGGCAAATACCTCGCGCCGCTCATGCCGTACGTTGCCGATGGCTGTCTTAGAGGGGTGGAATGTACCATCCCTGTGGTCTCCGTAATGGATTAGTCCACTGAGACGGGAGCCAATCAGACAGGTGTCTCGTGTGCCTCTAAAAATTAATTGCGATTGCCCCCCCCCCCCCCCCCCCCCCCCCAAAACAATCTACCGACCAAACAATCGACCAGTCGACTAAATGCGGTCAGCCCTACTGTGTTGAACGTTACAGTAGTTTTGACGTTGCCATCAGATTGTACTTTGTTAGCCAGCAAGCATTCAATATGGTTTGTAGTGAGGGACTTCCCGATGTGCCAAACCTAGGAAAGGCTAGCTACCTGGGCTAGAAACAGCTGGCTAGAAAAACGACATAGTGCACACACAATTGTACTTTTTCGCTTAAGTTTTCATGTACTGAATTAAAATCTAAAATTCATTGTGTTTCCATCGCATTTTCAATTCTACCGATAGTTTTGTCACAAAAAACTGTTGCGTTAAATAGCAAATGTGCCTACTCAGGTCTTGGCACGTTCGCTTTAGCCAACAGCTCGCAGATACAGTGCGGGTAGTCTAGTCTACATCAGGAGATTATTATGGAGAATATTTTTATTAAATGGCATTCAAGCATTGACCATGTCACCAGAATAAGACCCTCGATATTTAATGGAAAGGAGCATCAAGCTCATCACCGTGGCCCTTTCACCACCCTGTGAAGTTCATCATAATTAATTTAATCTGTATCCTAATAAACTGCATGCTTTCCCAAGTCGTAGTGGGAGGACCACAAACCATATCATCGCGTGACTCCCAAGTTTACTTCGATATGATGGTTATTATATCAATATTTGCGCATAAAGGTGTTTCTACTGCCATTTCGCGCATAGTTAATTTTACAGACACAAAGATCCCACCCTGTCGAACAAACAAATGATCTGTCGGCATTTTATATAATTGTACTGAAACGTCCTTTTTCCTTCACAGCTGTCGTGATATGCATAAAAACTGTGGATGGAAACGTGTTTATAGATGAAAAAATCTGCAACGTCTCATTGCTAGCAGCAGACAGAACATTGAAAAACGACCTAGCGTGTGTGAACAGAACGATGTAACTAGCCAAAAAACACAAGGGCAAAGTCTCACTCTAGTAGCCTTTTCGGGTTAATTCAAACAATTTCTATATGTGGTGTTTTGGATTGGAAGAAAAAAAACGGTTCCCAAATGCTCTTTATGACCACCTGCCAATGTGGATGGTGAAATAGACGTTCTTACCTGCCAATTTACAACATCTACCCGCATTTGGTGTGTGTTAATGGTGGTGACCCCACTGCCATCATGTCAAGTCCTTGACATGTCTAACATGTTTGGCCTGACAATAACCTGTCTTTAACCTGTCTTCTCCCTTTCATCTACACTGATTTTGAAGTGGATTTAACAAGTTACATCAATAAGCAGTTGACATGATGGCACAAACAGATCTGGGACCAAGCTAGAACTCTTCACCTTTGATCTTACTGACTTCTGACCTCTGACCTCTGACCTGTCCTTTCCAGGTGAGATCCCGGACGCGGCCTTCATCCACGCGGCAAGGAAGCGTCGTCAGATGGCGAGGGAGCTAGGCGGCGACGCCCCCCTGGTGGAGACGGACACACCCAAGAAGCGTCTGGTCAGAGAGGAGGAAGAGGAAGGGGACGGGAGTGATGATGATGATGATGAAGAGGAAAAGAGAATCAGCTTCAGTGGAGTCAAGAACAAGAGCCAGAGGACCAGGATAGCAGAGGAGATAGGTTAGTTACATTTACACATTAGGGAACACCTTACTGATATCGAGTTGCACCTCCCCTTGTGCCCTCACAACAGCCTCAATTCGTCAGGGGAATGGACTGTACAAGGTGTCAAAAGCGTTCCACAGGGATGCTGGCCCATGTTGACGCCAATGCTTCCCGCAGTTGTGTCGACTTGTCTGGATGTCCTTTGGGTGGGTGGGACCATTCTTGATAAACACGGGGAACTGTTGAGCGTGAAAAACCCAGCAGCGTTGCAGTTCTTGACACACTCAAACCGGTGCGCCTGGCACCTACTACCACACCCCGTTCAAAGACACTTACATATTTTGTCTTGCCCATTCACCCTCTGAATGGCACATATACACAATCCATGCCTCAATTGTCTCAAGGCTTAAAAATCATTATTTAACCTGTCCCCTCCCCTTCATCTACACTGATTTGAAGTGGATTTAACAAGTGACATCAATAAAGGATCATAGCTTTCACCTGGTCAGTCTGTCATGGAAAGAGCAGGTGTTCTGCTACTGATACTACCAATACACTACTAGCTACTACTACTACTACCAATACACTACTAGCTGCTACTACTACTACCAATACACTACTAGCTGCTACTACTACTACCAATACACTACTACTACTACTACCAATACACTACTAGCTGCTACTACTACTACCAATACACTACTAGCTGCTACTACTACTACCAATACACTACTACTACTACTACCAATACACTACTAGCTGCTACTACTACTACCAATACACTACTAGCTGCTACTACTACTACCAATACACTACTAGCTGCTACTACTACTACCAATACACTACTACTACTACTACCAATACACTACTACTACTACTACCAATACACTACTAGCTGCTACTACTACTACCAATACACTACTAGCTGCTACTACTACTACCAATACACTACTACTACTACTACCAATACACTACTAGCTGCTACTAGCTACTACTACTAATACTACTACTACTACTGCTGCTACTGATACTAGCAATACACTACTAGCTGCTACTAGCTACTACTACTAATACTACTACTACTACTGCTGCTACTGATACTAGCTACTACTACTACTACCAATACACTACTACTACTACTACTACCAATACACCACTAGCTGCTACTACTACCAATACACCACCAGCTGCTACTACTACTAGCTACTACTACTACCAATACACTACTAGCTGCTACTACTGCTACTACTAGCTACTAGATACTACTACCAAAACACTACTAGCTACTACTACCGCTACTACTACTACCAATACACCACTAGCTGCTACTACTACCACACTACCAATATACTACTAGCTACTACCGCTGCTACTACTAGCTACTACTACTACTACTACCAATACACTACTAGCTGCTGCTACTACTACTACCAATACACTACTAGCTGCTGCTACTACTACTAGCTACTACTACTACTAGCTGCTGCTACTACTACTACTACTACTACCAATACACTACTAGCTACTACTAGCTACTTTTACTACCAATACACTACTAGCTACTGCTACTACTACAACTACAACAACAACTACTACTACTACCAATTCACTACTAGCTGCTACTACTACTAGCTACTACTACTACTACTACTACCAATACACTACTAGCTACTACTACCACTACACTACTAGCTACTACTACTACTACTACTACCACTACTACTACTAGCTACTACTACTACCGCTCCTACTACTAGCTATTACTACTACTACTACTACTACTACTACTACCAATACACTACTAGCTTCTACTACTACTACTACTACTACTACTACCAATACACTACTAGCTACTGCTACTACTAGCTACTACTACCAATACACTACTAGCTACTGCTACTACTACTACTTGCTACTACTACTACTAGCTACTACTACCAATACGCTACTACTACTACTACCAATACACTACTAGCTACTACTACTACCAATACACTACTAGCTACTACTACCGCTACTACTACTACTACTACTACTACTACTAATACACTACTAGCTACTACTACTACTTCTACTACCAATACACTACTAGCTACTACTACTACCAATACACTACTAGCTATTACTACTAGCTGCTACTACTACTACTACTACTACCAATACACTACTACTACTACTACTACTACTATTACTACTAGCTACTACCAATACACTACTAGCTACTACTACCGCTACTACTACTACACTACCAATACACTGCTGCTGCTACTACTACTACTACTACTACTAGCAATATACTACTACTACTACTACACTTCTAGCTACTACTAGCTACTACTACTACCAATACACTACTAGCTACTACTACTACTACTACCAATACACTACTAGCTACTACTACTACTACTACCAATACACTACTACTACTACTACTACTACCAATACACTACTAGCTACTACTACTACCAATACACTACTACTACTACTACTACCAATACACTTCTAGCTACTACTGCTACTATTACTACTACTACTACTACTACTACTACTACCAATAGACTACTAGCTACTACTAGCTACTTTTACTACCAATACACTACTAGCTACTGCTACTACTTCAACTACAACAACAACTTCTACTACTACCAATACATTACTAGCTACTACTACTACTACTACCAATACGTGGTCCTCTGTAGCTCAATTGGTAGAGCATGGCGCTTGTAACGCCAGGGTAGTGGATTCGATCCCCGGGACCACCCATACGTAGAAATGTATGCACACATGACTGTAAGTCACTTTGGATAAAAGCATCTGCTAAATGGCATATTATTAATACACCACTAGCTGCTGCTACTACTACCACATTGCTACTACTACTAGCTACTACTACTGCTACTAACTACTACTAGCACTACTACTAGCTACTACTACTAGCTACTACTACTGCTGCTGCTACTACTAGCTACTACTACTAGCACTACTACTAGCTACTACTACTACCGCTGCTACTACTAGCTATTACTACTACTACTACCAATACACTACTAGCTACTACTACTACTACTACTACTTCTACTACCAATACACTACTAGCAGCTGCTACTACACTACTAGCTACTACTACTACCAATACACCACTAGCTGCTACTACTACCACACTACCAATATACTACTAGCTACTACCGCTGCTACTACTACTACTACTACTACTAATACACTACTAGCTACTACTACTACTACTACTACTACTACTACTACTACTACTTCTACTACCAATACACTACTAGCAGCTGCTACTACACTACTAGCTACTACTACTACCAATACACCACTAGCTGCTACTACTACCACACTACCAATATACTACTAGCACTACTACTAGCTACTACTACCGCTGCTACTACTAGCTATTACTACTACTACTACCGATACACTACTACTACTACTACTACTACTACTACTACTATGACCAATACACTACTAGCTACATATACTAATACACTACTAGCTACTGCTACTACTACTAGCTACTACTACCAATACACTACTAGCTGCTGCTACTATTACTACTACTAGCTACTACTACCAATACACTACTAGCTACTACTACTACTTCTACTACCAATACACTACTAGCTGCTACTACTACTACTACTACCGCTACTACTACTGCTGCTACTACTACTACTGCTACTACTACACTACTAGCTACTACTACTACCGCTACTACTACTGCTACTACTACTAGCTACTACTACTACCAATACACCACTAGCTACTACTACTACTACTACCGCTACTACTACTGCTACTACTACTACTACTACTGCTACTACTACTACCAATACACCACTAGCTGCTACTACTACCACACTACCAATATACTACTACTACTACTACTACTGCTACTACTAGCTACTACTAGCTACTACTACTAGCTACTACTAGCTACTACTACTACCGCTGCTACTACTAGCTATTACTACTACTACTACCAATACACTACTAGCTGTTGCTGCTACTACTACTACTAGCTGCTACTACTACTACTACTACTACTACTACTACTACTACTACTACTACTACTACTACTACTACTACTACTACTACGACCAATACACTACTAGCTACATATACTAATACACTACTAGCTACTGCTACTACTACTAGCTACTACTACCAATACACTACTAGCTGCTGCTGCTACTACTACTACAACTAGCTACTACTACCAATACACTACTAGCTACTACTACTACTTCTACTACCAATACACTACTAGCTGCTACTACTACTACTACCAATACACTACTCGCTGCTACTACTACTACTACTACTACTACCAATACACTACTAGCTGCTACTACTACTACTACTATCTAATACTACTACTACTATCTAATACTACTACTAATACACTACTAGCTACTGCTACTGCTACTACTAGCTATTACTACTACTACTACTACCGATACACTACTGGCTGCTACTACTACTACTAGCTGCTACTAGCTACTACTACTACTACTACTACTACTACTACGACCAGCTACATATACTAATACACTACTAGCTACTGCTACTACTACTACTAGCTACTCCTTCCAATACACTACTAGCTACTGCTACTACTACTACTACCAATACACTACTAGCTACTACTACTACTACTACTACTACTACTACTACTTCTACTACCAATACACTACTAGCTGCTGCTACTACTACTACTACTACTACTACTACCAATACACTACTAGCTGCTACTACTACTACTACACTACTACCAATACACTACTAGCTGCTGCTACTACTACTACTAGCTACTACTGCTACTACCAATACACCACTAGCTGCTGCTACCGCTACTACTAGCTGCTACTACTACCAATACACTACTAGCTACTACTACACTACCAATACACTGCTGCTGCTGCTGCTGCTACTACTACTAGCTACTACTACTAACTACTACTACTAGCTACTACTACTAGCAATATACTACTACTACTACTACTACCAATACACTACTAGCTGCTACTACTACCACCAATACACTACTACTGCTGCACTACTACTACTACTACTACTACTACTACTACTACTACTACTACCAATACACTACTACTACTACTACTGTTACCATAGTCAAGAACAAGAGCCAGATACTAGAGGAGATGGGTAGGATATACAGTGCCTTCAGAAAGCCTTCACACTCCTTGACTTGTTCCACATTTTGTTGTGTTACAGCCTGAATTTAAGATGGATTACATTTAGATTTTGTGTCACTGGCCTACACACAATACCCCATAATGTCAAAGTCGAATTACGTTTTTAGTCATTTTTACAAATTAATTAATTAAGAAAAGCTGAAATGTCTTGAGTCAATAAGTATTCACCGCTTTGACATGGCAAGCCTAAATAAGTTCAGGAGTAAAAATGTGCTTAAGTCACATAATAAGTTGCATGGACTCATTCTGTGTGCAATAATAGTTTTTAACATGATATTTACATTTTAGTAATTTAGCAGACGCTCTTATCCAGAGCGACTTACAGGAGCAATTAGGGTTAAGTGCCTTGCTCAAGGGCATGTCGACAGATTTTTCACCTAGTCGGCTCGGGGATTAGAACCAGCGACCTTTCGGTTACTGCCACAACGCTCTTACCCACTAAGCTACCTGCCGCCCCGACTACCTCATCTCTGTACCCGACACATACAATTATCTGAAAGGTCCATCAGTCAAGCAGTGAATTTCGAACACCGATTCAACCACAAAGACCAGGGATGTTTTTCAATGCCTCGCAAAGAAGGGCACCTATTGGTAGATGGGTAAATATACGAAGAGCAGACGTTGAATATCCCTTTGAGCATGGTATATCAATACACCCAGTTACTACAAAGATGTCCTTCCTAATTCGGTTGCCGGAGAGGAAGGAAACTGCTCCGGGATTTGAAGGCACTAAAGTAAAACTGCAAAAAATGGCAAAGAAATTAACTTTTTGTCCTGAATACAAAGTGTAATGTTTGGGGCAAATCCAACACAACACATCACTGAGTACCACTCTTCATATTTTCAAGCATGGTGGTGACTGCATCATGTTATGGGTATGCTTGTCATCGGCAAGGACTGGAGTTTTTTAGGATGAAAATAAACGGAAAAGAGCTAAGCACAGGCAAAATCCTAGAGGAAAACCTGGTTCAGTCTGCTTTCCAACAGACACTGGGAGACAAATTCTCCTTTCAGCAGGACAATAACCTAAAACACAATGCCAAATATACACTGGAGTTGCTTACCAAGACGACATTGAGTGTTCCTGAGTGGCTTCGTTACAGTTTTGACTTAAATCTGCTTGAAAATCTATGGCAAGACTTGAAAATGGCTGTCGAGCAATGATCAACAACCAACTTGACAGAGCTTGAAAAATGTGCAAATATTGGACAATCAAGGTGTGCAAAGCTCTTAGAGACTTACCCAGAAAGACTCACAGCTGTAATGGCTGCCAAAGGTGACTCTAACGTGTATTGACTTATGTAAATGAGATTTCATTTTCAATACATTTGCAAACATTTCTAATAACGAAGTTTTCACTTTGTCTTTATGGGGTATTGTGTGTAGATGGGTGAGAGGGGGAAAAAAACAATTTAATCCATTTAGATTTTAAGCTGTATCACAACAAAATGTGGAATAAGTCAAGGGGTAGGAATACTTTCTGAAGGCACTAACAATTCTCCCCCCCCCCCCCCCCCCCTTCTCTCTCCTCCCTTCCCCCTCCTCCCCTCTCCTCCCTCCCTCCCTCCTCCCCTCCCTCCCTCCCTCCCTCCCCTCCCTCCTCCCCTCCCTCCCTCCCTCCCTCCCTCCTCCCCTCCCTCCCTCCCTCCCCTCCCCTCCCCTCCCTCCCTCCTCCCCTCCCCTCCCCTCCCTCCCTCCCTCCTCCCCTCCCTCCCTCCCTCCCTCCTCCTTCCCTCCGCTCCTTCCCCTCCTCCCTCCCCTCCCTCTCTCCTCCCTCCTCTCCTCCCTTCCCCCTCATATTACTCCCTCTCGTCCTCCTTCCCTCTCCTCCCTCTCTCCTCCCTGTCCCGCCTCCTCCCGCTCTGCCTCCCACGCCTCTCTCCTCCCTCCCCTCTCTCCTCCTTCTCTCCTCCACTCTTCCCCTCATAGTATAGAGGGTAGTGATGATGAGGCGTTGGATACAGGAGGTCAGGATGAGGAGGTGTCACGCTGGGAACAGGAGCAGATACGCAAAGGGACCAGCATCCCCCAGGTAATACCACACTCACACAAACCAGCATCCCCCAGGTAACACTCACACACACCAACATCCCCCCAGGTAATACCACACTCACACACACCAGCATCCCCCAGGTAATACCACACTCACACACACCAGCATCCCCCAGGTAATACCACACCCACACACACCAGCATCCCCCAGGTAACACCACACTCACACTAAACCAGCATCCCCAAGGTAAATACCACACTCACCCCACACCAGCATCCCCCCAGTAATACCACACTCACACCCCCAAACATCCCCGGTTACCACACTCAACCACCCATCCCCCAGGTAATACACACTCACACACACCAGCATCCCCCAAGGTAATACCACACTCACACACACCAGCATCCCCCAGGTAATACCACACTCACACACACCAGCATCCCCCAGGTAATACCACACTCACACACACCAGCATCCCCCGGTAATACCACACTCACACACACCAGCATCCCCCCAGGTAATACCACCCACTCACACCCACCACATCCCCCAGGTATACCACACTCACACCACACATCATCCCCCCAGGTAACACACACACACCAGCATCCCCCAGGTAATACCACACTCCACACACCCAGCATCCCCCAAGTAATACCACACTCACACACACCAGCATCCCCCAGGTAATCACCACACTCACACCCACCATCCCCCCAGGTAATACCACACTCACACCCACGCATCCCCCCAGGTAATACCACACTCACACACACCAGCATCCCCCCAGGTAATACCACACTCACACACACCAGCATCCCCCCAGGTAATACCACACTCACACACACCAGCATCCCCCGGTAACACCCACACCACATCCCCCAAGTTAATACCACACTCACACACACCATGCATCCCCCCAGTATACCACACTCACACACACCAGCATCCCCCCAGGTTAATACCACACTCACACACACCCGCATCCCCCCAGGTAATCCACACTCACACACACCAGCATCCCCCCAGGTAATACCACACTCACACCACACCAGCATCCCCCCCAGGTAATACCACACTCACACACACCACATCCCCCCCAGGTAATACCACACTCACACACACCAGCATCCCCCCAGGTATACCAACTCACACACCCACCAGCATCCCCAGTAACACACACACACCAGCCATCCCCCCAGTATCCACACTCACACTCCACCACATCCCCCCCAGGTAATACCACACTCACACACACCAGCATCCCCCCAGGTAATACCACACTCACACACACCAGCATCCCCCAGGTAACACACACACACCAGCATCCCCCAGGGTAATACCACTCACACACCCCGCATCCCCAAGGTAATACCACACTCACACACACCGCATCCCCCAGGTATACCACACCTACACACACCAGCATCCCCCAGGTAATACCACACTCACAAACACCAGCATCCCCAGGGTAATACCACACTCACACATACAGCATCCCCGGTAATCCACACTCTCACAAACCAGCATCCCCCAGGTAATACCACACTCTCAAACCAGCATCCCCCAGTAATACCACACTCTCACACCCAGCATCCCCCAGGTAATACCACACTCTCACAAACACAGCATCCCCCAGGTAATACCACACTCTCACAAACCAGCATCCCCCAGGTAATACCACACTCTCACAAACCAGCATCCCCCAGGTAATACCACACTCTCACAAACCAGCATCCCCCAGGTAATACCACACTCTCACAAACCAGCATCCCCCAGGTAATACCACACTCACACACGCCAGCATCCCCCCAGGTAATACCACACTCTCACACACCAGCATCCCCCAGGTAATACCACACTCACACACGCCAGCATCCCCCAAGGTAACACACACCATACATTGTGTTGTTGTGTAGGTCCAGTCCTGCCAGCCAGACGACAGCGGTAGCGGTAGTATGTACTACCAGAGCAACAGCTACGACCCCCAGCAGCCCTACAGCTCTACCTACAGCCTGCCCTACTCCTACATTAGCAAGGCTGAGGGCTGCGCACTGGTCTACAGCGCCCCTGGTGGTGACCTTTCACCTGTCACTGCTGACCTGGTCAAGACACGCCTCAGAGACAGGTACCCGACGGATCCAGTACTCTGCTAACCCTGACGTTGACCTTTCACCTGTCACTACTGACCTGGTCAAGGAAAGTATTCAGACCCCTTCACTTTTTCCACATTTTGTTACGTTAAAGCCTTATTCTAAAATTGATTTTTTTTATTTATTTCCCCGTCATCAATCTAAACACACTACCCCATAATGACGAAGCAAAAACAGGTTTTTAGAAGAAAAAAAACGGAAATATCACATTTACATAAGTATTCAGACCCTTTCCTCAGTACTTTGTTGAAGCACCTTTGGCAGTGATTACAGCCTCAAGTCTTCTTGGGTATGACGCTACAAGCTTGGCACACCTGTATTTGGGGAGTTTCTCCCATTCTTCTCTGCAGATCCTCTCAAGCTCTGTCAGGTAGGATGGGGAGCGTCGCTGCACAGCTATTTTCAGGTCTCTCCAGAGATGTTCTATCGGGTTCAAGTCCAGGCTCTGGCTGGGCCACTCAAGGACATTCAGAGACTTGTCCCAAAGCCACTCTTGCGTTGTCTTGGCTGAATGCTTAGGGTCGTTGTCCTGTTGAAGGTGAACCTTTGCCCCAGTCTGAGGTCCTGAGCGCTCTGGAGCAGGTTTTCATCAAGGATCTCTCTGTACTTTGCTCCGTTCATCTTTCCCTCGATCCTGACTAGTCTCCCAGTCCCTGCTGCTGAAAAACATCCCCACAGCATGATGCTGCCACCACCATGGTTCACCGTAGAGATCGTGCCAGGTTTCCTCCAGACGTGACGCTTGGCATTCAGGCCAAAGAGTTCAATCTTGGTTTCTTCAGACCAGAGAATCTTGTTTCTCATGGTCTGAGAATCCTTTAGGTGCCTTTTGGCAAACTCCAAGCGGGCTGTCATGTGCCTTTTACTGAGGAGTGGCTTCCGTCTGGCCACCCTACCATAAAGGCCTGATTGGTGGAGTGCTGCAGAGACGGTTGTCCTTCTGGAAGGTTCTCCCATCTCCACAGAGGAACTCTAGAGCTCTGTCAGAGTGACCATCGGGTTCTTGGTCACCTCCCTGACCAAGGCCCCTATCCCCCGATTGCTCAGTTTGGCCGGGCGGATGCACCTGAGCTCAATTTCGAGTCTCATAGCAAAGGGTCTGAATACTTATTTAAATAAGGTATTTCGGTTTTTATTTTTATTTTACCTGTTTTCACTTTTTCATTTTGAGGTATTGTGTGTAGTTTCAAAACATGCAATCAATTTTAGAATAAAGCAGTAATGTAACAATGTGGAAAAAGTGAATGGGTCTGAATACTTTCCGAATGCAACATATGCCTCAGAGACAGGTGCCTGACAGATTCAGCACTCTACTCCAGCGGTTCTCAACTGGTAGGTCGTGACCCAAATTAGGTTTGGAATGGGTCTCAAGTCTGAGTAAAATAAAATAAAAATAAAAAATACTCCAGTCTGAAATAAATGACTAAAACCAGGTAGAAATGATAATGGACATATATTTTTATATCATTTTATATCGGAAATCTTTTTCTTCAATCACAGTATTTTTTTGTTCAGTTTATTTGGTGGATTCTTCTGGTCTCATACCAGTGAGCTTAGCATTCTTCAAGAATATGAGCAAAATGGAATTATTGACTATGGAAAAAGTTGGGACTGTTCCCGTTTCATATAATTGGTACATTTTACTGTGAATATAGCGTTAATCATAGTTTTCCAGATTGCATTTTGGCAACAGCAAAAAATGGAGACGCGAATATTGGATCACCACTGAGACAAGCTGGTTCAATTTGGGTCCTGGGGGTAAACCAGTTGGACTACTGAGCTACTCTAATGTGGTTCTGTTACCTTACCACTCAATTCTGCTGTTACTGGCATCCCAGCCAGCTAGAAGCCACTCCATTCTGCTGTTACTGGAATCCCAGCCAGCTAGAAGCCACTCCCTTCTGCTGTTACTGGAATCCCAGCCAGCTAGAAGCCACTCCCTTCTGCTGTTACTGGAATCCCAGCCAGCTAGAAGCCACTCCCTTCTACTACGCTGTTACTGGAATCCCAGCCAGCTAGAAGCCACTCCATTCTGCTGTTACTGGAATCCCAGCCAGCTAGAAGCCACTCCCTTCTGCTGTTACTGGAATCCCAGCCAGCTAGAAGCCACTCCATTCTACTGTTACTGGAATCCCAGCCAGCTAGAAGCCACTCCCTTCTGCTGTTACTGGAATCCCAGCCAGCTAGAAGCCACTCCCTTCTGCTGTTACTGGAATCCCAGCCAGCTAGAAGCCACTCCCTTCTGCTGTTACTGGAATCCCAGCCAGCTAGAAGCCACTCCCTTCTGCTGTTACTGGAATCCCAGCCAGCTAGAAGCCACTCCCTTCTGCTGTTACTGGAATCCCAGCCAGCTAGAAGCCACTCCCTTCTGCTGTTACTGGAATCCCAGCCAGCTAGAAGCCACTCCCTTCTGCTGTTACTGGAATCCCAGCCAGCTAGAAGCCACTCCCTTCTACTACGCTGTTACTGGAATCCCAGCCAGCTAGAAGCCACTCCCTTCTGCTGTTACTGGAATCCCAGCCAGCTAGAAGCCACTCCATTCTGCTGTTACTGGAATCCCAGCCAGCTAGAAGCTGTGTGGTTTGTGCTGCTGGAAAGGTTTGCCAGGGGTGACTCTCCTCTCTTCCCCCACTCAGTCACCTGGTTTACCTCAGGCACATTACTTCATGGTCTTCCTTTCTATTGGTCAGTCCTCACTAAGTGTCTGTCTGTCTGTCTGTCTGTCTGTCTGTCTGTCTGTCCTGTATGCCTTCCCAGGCTGAGCTCCAGTCCTGCTGAAAGCTGCTTTATAGTTAGCCCCTGACCACAGCGCTGTAGACCATTAGAATATTAGAGGCTGCTGCTGCCTATTGAAATCACTGGCCACTTTAAGAAATGGAACACTAGTCACTTTAATAATGTTTCCATATCTTGCACTACTCATCTCATATGTATATACTGTATTCTATTCTATAATATTCTACTGTATCTTAGTCCATGCCGCTCTGTCATTGCTTGTCCATATATGTATATTTTCCTAAATTCCATTCCTTACTAGTTTTGTGTGTATTGGGTATATGTTGTGAAATTGTTAGATATTACTGCACTGTCGGAGTTAGAAGCACAAGCATTTCGCTACACCCGCTATAACATCTGCTAAACACGTGAATGTGACAAATACAATCTGATTTGATTTGAATACCACATCATATGTGTCTATTGACAGTTGTAAACCAAGCTTCATGGGATAACTTTACAGGACTCACCCTCTCTCTCTCTCTCTTCTGTCTGTCTGTCTGTAGGCTCAGATCCACTCAACTCACCCTGTTTGTCTCGTGTGTGTGTGTGTGTGTGTCTCTAGGCTGAGCCAGATGCGTGTGGGGCATGATGCTAATGCTAAGCGCTACGATCAGATCCAGGAAGAACTCGAGGCAGCTCAGAACACCATTCGCCGCCTCGAGGGTTCGTCCAATGACGACGCAGAACAGTATAAATTCTTGCAAGAGATGCGAGGGTATGTTCGAGACTTGCTTGAGTGTTTCGGTGAAAAGGTAAGGGAGAAATTCTCTGCCTCCGTTCTTCGTTTTTATTTTGATATTTTTCTCTCGTGGGTTAAAATACTTTTTGAAATAAGAGCATAACAATTTGATATGTACTTTGACGTAAAAATGAGTTTTAAGTTCATTTCTGCTTTAAAATTACAACCTATGCCTTTTTTAGTTTAGAGCAATTGTTTTTTGCAGTATACTTCCATTTGGTGGTCTCGAACTGAATTGCTCTGATACTCATTAGTGCATGTCTGTATCAGAACTATCAACCGCTCCAATATTTATCATCTACTGAAATGTTTTATTTCATCTGACTGGTGTTAGTCCTACAGCAGGTGGTTCTAGGTGGCCTCCCATCTTAACATCTGACTGGTGTTAGTTCTACAGCAGGTGGTTCTAGGTGGCCTCCCATCTGACTGGTGTTAGTTCTACAGCAGGTGGTTCTAGGTGGTCTACCATCTGACTGGTGTTAGTCCTACAGCAGGTGGTTCTAGGTGGCCTCCCATCTGACTGGTGTTAGTCCTACAGCAGGTGGTTCTAGGTGGCCTCCCATCTGACTGGTGTTAGTTCTACAGCAGGTGGTTCTAGGTGGCCTCCCATCTGACTGGTGTTAGTCCTACAGCAGGTGGTTCTAGGTGGCCTCCCATCTTAACATCTGACTGGTGTTAGTCCTACAGCAGGTGGTTCTAGGTGGCCTCCCATCTGACTGGTGTTAGTCCTACAGCAGGTGGTTCTAGGTGGCCTCCCATCTGACTGGTGTTAGTTCTACAGCAGGTGGTTCTAGGTGGTCTCCCATCTTAACATCTGACTGGTGTTAGTTCTACAGCAGGTGGTTCTAGGTGGCCTCCCATCTGACTGGTGTTAGTTCTACAGCAGGTGGTTCTAGGTGGCCTCCCATCTGACTGGTGTTAGTCCTACAGCAGGTGGTTCTAGGTGGCCTCCCATCTGACTGGTGTTAGTCCTACAGCAGGTGGTTCTAGGTGGTCTACCATCTGACTGGTGTTAGTTCTACAGCAGGTGGTTCTAGGTGGCCTCCCATCTGACTGGTGTTAGTCCTACAGCAGGTGGTTCTAGGTGGCCTACCATCTTAACATCTGACTGGTGTTAGTCCTACAGCAGGTGGTTCTAGGTGGCCTCCCATCTTAACATCTGACTGGTGTTAGTTCTACAGCAGGTGGTTCTAGGTGGCCTCCCATCTGACTGGTGTTAGTTCTACAGCAGGTGGTTCTAGGTGGCCTCCCATCTGACTGGTGTTAGTTCTACAGCAGGTGGTTCTAGGTGGCCTCCCATCTTAACATCTGACTGGTGTTAGTCCTACAGCAGGTGGTTCTAGGTGGTCTACCATCTTAACATCTGACTGGTGTTAGTCCTACAGCAGGTGGTTCTAGGTGGTCTACCATCTTAACATCTGACTAGTGTTAGTCCTACAGCAGGTGGTTCTAGGTGGCCTCCCATCTGACTGGTGTTAGTCCTACAGCAGGTGGTTCTAGGTGGCCTCCCATCTGACTGGTGTTAGTCCTACAGCAGGTGGTTCTAGGTGGTCTACCATCTTAACATCTGACTGGTGTTAGTCCTACAGCAGGTGGTTCTAGGTGGCCTCCCATCTGACTGGTGTTAGTCCTACAGCAGGTGGTTCTAGGTGGCCTCCCATCTTAACATCTGACTGGTGTTAGTTCTACAGCAGGTGGTTCTAGGTGGCCTCCCATCTGACTGGTGTTAGTTCTACAGCAGGTGGTTCTAGGTGGTCTACCATCTGACTGGTGTTAGTCCTACAGCAGGTGGTTCTAGGTGGCCTCCCATCTGACTGGTGTTAGTTCTACAGCAGGTGGTTCTAGGTGGCCTCCCATCTGACTGGTGTTAGTCCTACAGCAGGTGGTTCTAGGTGGCCTCCCATCTTAACATCTGACTGGTGTTAGTCCTACAGCAGGTGGTTCTAGGTGGCCTCCCATCTGACTGGTGTTAGTCCTACAGCAGGTGGTTCTAGGTGGCCTCCCATCTGACTGGTGTTAGTTCTACAGCAGGTGGTTCTAGGTGGCCTCCCATCTGACTGGTGTTAGTCCTACAGCAGGTGGTTCTAGGTGGCCTCCCATCTGACTGGTGTTAGTCCTACAGCAGGTGGTTCTAGGTGGTCTACCATCTGACTGGTGTTAGTTCTACAGCAGGTGGTTCTAGGTGGCCTCCCATCTGACTGGTGTTAGTCCTACAGCAGGTGGTTCTAGGTGGCCTACCATCTTAACATCTGACTGGTGTTAGTCCTACAGCAGGTGGTTCTAGGTGGCCTCCCATCTTAACATCTGACTGGTGTTAGTTCTACAGCAGGTGGTTCTAGGTGGCCTCCCATCTGACTGGTGTTAGTTCTACAGCAGGTGGTTCTAGGTGGCCTCCCATCTGACTGGTGTTAGTTCTACAGCAGGTGGTTCTAGGTGGCCTCCCATCTTAACATCTGACTGGTGTTAGTCCTACAGCAGGTGGTTCTAGGTGGTCTACCATCTTAACATCTGACTGGTGTTAGTCCTACAGCAGGTGGTTCTAGGTGGTCTACCATCTTAACATCTGACTAGTGTTAGTCCTACAGCAGGTGGTTCTAGGTGGCCTCCCATCTGACTGGTGTTAGTCCTACAGCAGGTGGTTCTAGGTGGCCTCCCATCTGACTGGTGTTAGTCCTACAGCAGGTGGTTCTAGGTGGCCTCCCATCTGACTGGTGTTAGTTCTACAGCAGGTGGTTCTAGGTGGCCTCCCATCTGACTGGTGTTAGTCCTACAGCAGGTGGTTCTAGGTGGTCTACCATCTTAACATCTGACTGGTGTTAGTTCTACAGCAGGTGGTTCTAGGTGGCCTCCCATCTTAACATCTGACTGGTGTTAGTCCTACAGCAGGTGGTTCTAGGTGGCCTCCCATCTGACTGGTGTTAGTTCTACAGCAGGTGGTTCTAGGTGGCCTCCCATCTGACTGGTGTTAGTTCTACAGCAGGTGGTTCTAGGTGGCCTCCCATCTGACTGGTGTTAGTTCTACAGCAGGTGGTTCTAGGTGGCCTCCCATCTGACTGGTGTTAGTTCTACAGCAGGTGGTTCTAGGTGGCCTCCCATCTGACTGGTGTTAGTTCTACAGCAGGTGGTTCTAGGTGGTCTCCCATCTTAACATCTGACTGGTGTTAGTTCTACAGCAGGTGGTTCTAGGTGGCCTCCCATCTGACTGGTGTTAGTCCTACAGCAGGTGGTTCTAGGTGGCCTCCCATCTGACTGGTGTTAGTTCTACAGCAGGTGGTTCTAGGTGGCCTCCATTCTGACTGGTGTTAGTTCTACAGCAGGTGGTTCTAGGTGGTCTACCATCTGACTGGTGTTAGTCCTACAGCAGGTGGTTCTAGGTGGCCTCCCATCTGACTGGTGTTAGTCCTACAGCAGGTGGTTCTAGGTGGTCTACCATCTTAACATCTGACTGGTGTTAGTTCTACAGCAGGTGGTTCTAGGTGGCCTCCCATCTTAACATCTGACTGGTGTTAGTCCTACAGCAGGTGGTTCTAGGTGGCCTCCCATCTGACTGGTGTTAGTTCTACAGCAGGTGGTTCTAGGTGGCCTCCCATCTGACTGGTGTTAGTCCTACAGCAGGTGGTTCTAGGTGGCCTCCCATCTGACTGGTGTTAGTTCTACAGCAGGTGGTTCTAGGTGGCCTCCCATCTGACTGGTGTTAGTCCTACAGCAGGTGGTTCTAGGTGGCCTCCCATCTGACTGGTGTTAGTCCTACAGCAGGTGGTTCTAGGTGGCCTCCCATCTTAACATCTGACTGGTGTTAGTCCTACAGCAGGTGGTTCTAGGTGGCCTCCCATCTGACTGGTGTTAGTCCTACAGCAGGTGGTTCTAGGTGGCCTCCCATCTGACTGGTGTTAGTTCTACAGCAGGTGGTTCTAGGTGGCCTCCCATCTGACTGGTGTTAGTCCTACAGCAGGTGGTTCTAGGTGGCCTCCCATCTGACTGGTGTTAGTCCTACAGCAGGTGGTTCTAGGTGGCCTCCCATCTTAACATCTGACTGGTGTTAGTTCTACAGCAGGTGGTTCTAGGTGGCCTCCCATCTGACTGGTGTTAGTTCTACAGCAGGTGGTTCTAGGTGGTCTCCCATCTTAACATCTGACTGGTGTTAGTTCTACAGCAGGTGGTTCTAGGTGGCCTCCCATCTGACTGGTGTTAGTCCTACAGCAGGTGGTTCTAGGTGGCCTCCCATCTGACTGGTGTTAGTTCTACAGCAGGTGGTTCTAGGTGGCCTCCCATCTGACTGGTGTTAGTTCTACAGCAGGTGGTTCTAGGTGGTCTACCATCTGACTGGTGTTAGTCCTACAGCAGGTGGTTCTAGGTGGCCTCCCATCTGACTGGTGTTAGTCCTACAGCAGGTGGTTCTAGGTGGTCTACCATCTTAACATCTGACTGGTGTTAGTCCTACAGCAGGTGGTTCTAGGTGGCCTCCCATCTTAACATCTGACTGGTGTTAGTCCTACAGCAGGTGGTTCTAGGTGGCCTCCCATCTGACTGGTGTTAGTTCTACAGCAGGTGGTTCTAGGTGGCCTCCCATCTGACTGGTGTTAGTCCTACAGCAGGTGGTTCTAGGTGGCCTCCCATCTGACTGGTGTTAGTCCTACAGCAGGTGGTTCTAGGTGGCCTCCCATCTTAACATCTGACTGGTGTTAGTCCTACAGCAGGTGGTTCTAGGTGGCCTCCCATCTGACTGGTGTTAGTCCTACAGCAGGTGGTTCTAGGTGGCCTCCCATCTGACTGGTGTTAGTCCTACAGCAGGTGGTTCTAGGTGGCCTCCCATCTGACTGGTGTTAGTCCTACAGCAGGTGGTTCTAGGTGGCCTCCCATCTTAACATCTGACTGGTGTTAGTCCTACAGCAGGTGGTTCTAGGTGGCCTCCCATCTGACTGGTGTTAGTCCTACAGCAGGTGGTTCTAGGTGGCCTCCCATCTTAACATCTGACTGGTGTTAGTTCTACAGCAGGTGGTTCTAGGTGGCCTCCCATCTGACTGGTGTTAGTTCTACAGCAGGTGGTTCTAGGTGGCCTCCCATCTGACTGGTGTTAGTTCTACAGCAGGTGGTTCTAGGTGGCCTCCCATCTTAACATCTGACTGGTGTTAGTCCTACAGCAGGTGGTTCTAGGTGGCCTCCCATCTGACTGGTGTTAGTTCTACAGCAGGTGGTTCTAGGTGGCCTCCCATCTTAACATCTGACTGGTGTTAGTTCTACAGCAGGTGGTTCTAGGTGGCCTCCCATCTGACTGGTGTTAGTCCTACAGCAGGTGGTTCTAGGTGGCCTCCCATCTTAACATCTGACTGGTGTTAGTCCTACAGCAGGTGGTTCTAGGTGGCCTCCCATCTGACTGGTGTTAGTTCTACAGCAGGTGGTTCTAGGTGGCCTCCCATCTTAACATCTGACTGGTGTTAGTCCTACAGCAGGTGGTTCTAGGTGGCCTCCCATCTTAACATCTGACTGGTGTTAGTTCTACAGCAGGTGGTTCTAGGTGGCCTCCCATCTGACTGGTGTTAGTTCTACAGCAGGTGGTTCTAGGTGGTCTCCCATCTTAACATCTGACTGGTGTTAGTTCTACAGCAGGTGGTTCTAGGTGGCCTCCCATCTGACTGGTGTTAGTTCTACAGCAGGTGGTTCTAGGTGGGCCTCCCATCTGACTGGTGTTAGTTCTACAGCAGGTGGTTCTAGGTGGTCTCCCATCTTAACATCTGACTGGTGTTAGTTCTACAGCAGGTGGTTCTAGGTGGCCTCCCATCTGACTGGTGTTAGTCCTACAGCAGGTGGTTCTAGGTGGCCTCCCATCTGACTGGTGTTAGTCCTACAGCAGGTGGTTCTAGGTGGCCTCCCATCTGACTGGTGTTAGTCCTACAGCAGGTGGTTCTAGGTGGTCTCCCATCTGACTGGTGTTAGTCCTACAGCAGGTGGTTCTAGGTGGTCTCCCATCTGACTGGTGTTAGTTCTACAGCAGGTGGTTCTAGGTGGCCTCCCATCTGACTGGTGTTAGTCCTACAGCAGGTGGTTCTAGGTGGTCTCCCATCTGACTGGTGTTAGTCCTACAGCAGGTGGTTCTAGGTGGTCTCCCATCTGACTGGTGTTAGTTCTACAGCAGGTGGTTCTAGGTGGCCTCCCATCTGACTGGTGTTAGTCCTACAGCAGGTGGTTCTAGGTGGCCTCCCATCTTAACATCTGACTGGTGTTAGTCCTACAGCAGGTGGTTCTAGGTGGCCTCCCATCTGACTGGTGTTAGTCCTACAGCAGGTGGTTCTAGGTGGCCTCCCATCTTAACATCTGACTGGTGTTAGTCCTACAGCAGGTGGTTCTAGGTGGCCTCCCCATCTTAACATCTGAACTGGTGTTAGTTCTACAGCAGGTGGTTCTAGGTGGCCCTCCCATCTGACTGGTGTTAGTCCTACAGCAGGTGGTTCTAGGTGGCCTCCCATCTGACTGGTGTTAGTCTACAGCAGGTGGTTCTAGGTGGCCTCCCATCTGACTGGTGTTAGTCCACAGCAGGTGGTTCTAGGTGGCCTCCCATCTTAACATCTGACTGGTGTTAGTTCTACAGCAGGTGGGTTCTAGGTGGCCTCCCATCTGACTGGTGTTAGTCCTACAGCAGTGTTCTAGGTGGCCCTCCCATCTGACTGGTGTTAGTTCTACAGCAGGTGGTTCTAGTGGCCTCCCATCTGCTGGTGTTAGTCCTACAGCAGGTGGTTTCTAGGTGGCCTCCCATCTGACTGGTGTTAGTTCTACAGCAGGTGGTTCTAGGTGGCCTCCCATCTGACTGGTGTTAGTCCTACAGCAGGTGGTTCTAGGTGGTCTACCATCTTAACATCTGACTGCTGTTAGTCCTACAGCAGGTGGTTCTAGGTGGCCTCCCATCTTAACATCTGACTGGTGTTAGTCCTACAGCAGGTGGTTCTAGGTGGCCTCCCATCTGACTGGTGTTAGTCCTACAGCAGGTGGTTCTAGGTGGTCTCCAGAGAGGGGAGGAGAAGGACCCTAGTCTCTATGCACCTGTTAGCTGAACTGACTATCAGCCTCTCTCTTTAACACTCACTTCCTCCTTCAGCTCTCCTTAGAGGAATGATGCATGATGGTTAATGGAGTCTCTTTGGTGTGGGGGCTGAGAACATTGTGAAAAAGCTCACTGACTGCACAGTTCAAACTAAAAGCTCTGGCTTGTTAGTAAAGGAAAGCTGAAATAGCGCTGATGTTGGTCCATGTTTATAGATGTAGAATGAACACAGAGTAACACCTTGATTGAAAATAACTACAATATTTAACTTTGACTGATATTCCTGTCTATATTCAACCTCACAACACAATTGGACGTATCACCTGTCAGTCAAGCGTCTCTCTGGCCCTTGCACCAATGAGGTCTCCCGGTGGCCGGTCAGCCTGAGCAGGGCTTTGTTCTGTGTCGAGGTCAGAGGTGACATGTGGGCGTGTATGTTTCAGGTTCCCAGCGTGGTGGAGCTGGAGGGCGCCATGCACCAGTTACTAAGGCAACGGGCCTGTCGGCTGGTCCAGCGGCGCCAGGATGATATTAAAGATGAATCGGCGGAGTTTGCAAGCCTTTCAAGTCAGTCCATCTTGAAGGTTTTTATTCTTTACTCGAACGGCATCGTTGGTTCTCTGTGTGTGTGTGTGTGTGTGTGTGGTGGTGTGTACGTGTGAAGCAGCTCCCCCCCCCCCCCCCCCAACTCTTATTTTCCTTAAGTGTTAACCCCCACTCCCCAAAACCCTTCTCATCTCTCCCTGTCTTACCCAAACCCTTCTCATCTCTCCCTGTCTTACCCAAACCCTTCTCATCTCTCCCTGTCTTACCCAAACCCTTCTCATCTCTCCCTGTCTTACCCAAACCCTTCTCACCTCTCCCTGTCTTACCCAAACCCTTCTCATCTCTCCCTGTCTTACCCAAACCCTTCTCATCTCTCCCTGTCTTACCCAAACCCTTCTCATCTCTCCCTGTCTTACCCAAACCCTTCTCATCTCTCCCTGTCTGTGAGTGGTGCGAGCCTTGTTGTCAAGTGAGCTTGGTGAGAGAGAGAGAGAGAGAGAGAGAGGTGATCTTGAGTCCTGACTGCACAGTGATGTGTAAAGGGACGAGGCTGTTTCAGCTTTGCTCCATCTGTTGTGGCTGAGATGACTGTGACAGACCGAACCACAGACGGTCTGTCTGTAGTTGTCTGTAGACCTGTAGTCCATTTGAATCACTGACTAAAACGCCATAAAATCAGTGACCAAAAGCTATGACCGTGACGTCAGTGAGTCACTGACACAGACAGGTCCTAAAGTGAATGCTAGTTGATATGATGCTGCTGACCACAGACAGGTAAGTGTTAAGTGGATTCAGTGATAATCCAAGCAGAACATCAATGCATTACGACTGTAGACCAGGACAGTTAATCAAACGGATAATGTTTCTGTGCTGTGAATAGGTTTAGATTAATCAGTTCGGCTGATAGTTATTGACACGTCTAATATTCATAAATAGTTCAATAAATAAAGCACTTTTTTTCTGATCCTGGTGTCAAATGCAGAAATGCCTTTTTCATGAAAAAGTTATTTACAAATGTGTTGCATATTATTTAGTCAGTATAAATGGTATGTAGGCTAGTTTAGGCAGGTGTAGTCTAGATTAAGCATGTTGGAGTCTAGATTAAGCCAGGTGGAGTTGAGGTGAGGGCTCTCTGTCCCGTCCTCAGGTCTCTAACCTTTGACCTGTCTCTTCCAGGTAAGGCTGTGATGGCTCCTAACCTCATGTCTCCTGACTCGTTTGGGAGAGACAGGACCGTCTATCAGGAGCACGCCAGACAGCGGAGGATCGCTGAACGGGAAGCCCGACGGTACGATGCTACGCTAACACACTCACAGCTTTTTAAAATATTCCTATTCAGTCAGTATAAATGTTGTGCAGGCTAGGTGTTGTTGAGGTGAGGGCTGTCTATCAGCAGAACGCTTAGACGAATGAGGATCGCAGAGCGGGAGGCACTAGCTGGAGATACAAGACCTCAGCGCAAAGATCTGAAGCCTTCAACTCACTCATAGTTTTAAAGTGATATTTCACTTTTTTTCAAACTTTGTCAGATGTTTTTACCTTTTCAAGGTACATGACAACAGGACACTCCCAAGGTATGAAAACATCTGAAATATCTCTTTAAATAGAGCTATGCTGTCCCCTAGTGTTAAATTGTAGTTATCACATGTTGAATGTACTCATGAGATCAAACATGCTCTGAATGCAGCCCCATACCATAGTCTTGTCCCCTTGGGGCGCGTCTCAATACTCTAAAGCTGCACCCTCTCCCGGTAGGCATCAATCACTGAAGGAGAGGAGGACACAACATTATTGAGATGCACCCTTCTTGTTAGCAGTTCTGAATGACCCAAATGGGTTTTTATCGACGAAAACAATGTCTTGTGTGATTGGCTAACATTGTTTGTGGGGCGGGCCTAGAACGCGGCGGCGGCAGGCACGGGAGCAGAACGGGAAGAGGGCGGAGCATAGCGAGGGGCTGTCCTCCGACGATGAGGAGACTTCCACTGACCTCACATCATACTGCCTGGAGAGAGGTACCTTCACACCCTTCTCCCTCCATCAGCACATACCTTCAGACCCTTCTCCCTCCATCAGCACATACCTTCAGACCCTTCTCCCTCCATCAGCACATACCTTCACACCCTTCTCCCTCCATCAGCACATACCTTCACACCCTTCTCCCTCCATCAGCACATACCTTCAGACCCTTCTCTCTCCATCAGCACATACCTTCAGACCCTTCTCCCTCCATCAGCACATACCTTCAGACCCTTCTCTCTCATCTCCTTCACTATGTTTCAGTTGGATATTCTGTACATTTACCTTCTCTCATTTTCTTTCCACATCCCTTCAGATCCTAAAGCTTTCTTCTTCTTTATCTCTACTGTGTAGTAGTAGTAGTAGTAGTAGTGGTAGTAGTAGTAGTGGTAGTGGTGGTAGTGGTAGTGGTAGTAGTGTTTGATCTGGGGTTGGTATCATCTTTACATTTACGTCATTTAGCAGATGCTCATATCCAGAGCGACTTACAAATTGGTGCATTCACCTTGTGATGGGACAACCACTTTACAATATTTTTTTATTTTGGGGGTGGTAGAAGGATTACTTTATCCTATCCCAGGTATTCCTTAAAGAGGTGGGGTTTCAAATGTCTCCGGAAGGTGGTGAGTGACTCCGCTGTCCTGGCGTCGTGAGGGAGCTTGTTCCACCATTGGGGTGCCAGAGCAGCGAACAGTTTTGACTGGGCTGAGCGGGAACTGTGCTTCCGCAGAGGTAGGGGGGCCAGCAGGCCAGAGGTGGATGAACGCAGTGCCCTCGTTTGGGTGTAGGGACTGATCAGAGCCTGAAGGTACGGAGGTGCCGTTCCCCTCACAGCTCCGTAGGCAAACACCATGGTCTTGTAGCAGATGCGAGCTTCAACTGGAAACCAGTGGAGTGTGCGGAGGAGCGGGGTGACGTGAGAGAACTTGGGAAGGTTGAACACTAGACGGGCTGCGGCATTCTGGATGAGTTGTAGGGGTTTAATGGCACAGGCAGGGAGCCCAGCCAACAGCGAGTTGCAGTAATCCAGACGGGAGATGACCAGTGCCTGGATTAGGACCTGTGCCGCTTCCTGTGTAAGGCAGGGTCGTACTCTCCGAATGTTGTAGAGCATGAACCTACAGGATCGGGTCACCGCCTTGATGTTAGCGGAGAACGACAGGGTGTTGCCCAGGGTCACGCCAAGGCTCTTCGCACTCTGGGAGGAGGACACAACGGAGTTATCAACCGTGATGGCGAGATCATGGAACGGGCAGTCCTTCCCCAGGAGGAAGAGCAGCTCCGTCTTGCCGAGGTTCAGCTTGAGGTGGTGATCCGACATCCACACTGATATGTCTGCCAGACATGCAGAGATGCGATTCGCCACCTGGTTATCAGAAGGGGGAAAGGAGAAGATTAGTTGTGTGTTGTCTGCGTAGCAATGATAGGAGAGGCCATGTGAGGATATGACAGAGCCAAGTGACTTGGTGTATAGCGAGAATAGGAGAGGGCCTAGAACTGAGCCCTGGGGGACACCAGTGGTGAGAGCACGTGGTGCGGAGACAGCTTCTCGCCACGCCACTTGGTAGGAGCGACCTGTCAGGTAGGACGCAATCCAGGAGTGAGCCGCGCCGGAGATGCCCAGCTCGGAGAGGGTGGAGAGGAGGATCTGATGGTTCACAGTATCAAAGGCAGCAGACAGGTCTAGAAGGACAAGAGCAGAGGAGAGAGAGTTAGCTTTAGCAGTGCGGAGAGCCTCCGTGACACAGAGAAGAGCAGTCTCAGTTGAATGACCAGTCCTGAAACCTGACTGGTTTGGATCAAGAAGGTCATTCTGAGAGAGATAGCAAGAGAGTTGGCTAGAGACGGCACGCTCAAGAGTTTTGGAGAGAACTCTAGACTGTGTAGTAATAATAGTAGTAGTAGTGTTTGATCTGGGGTTGGTATCTTCTCTAGACTGTGTAGTAGTAGTAGTAGTAGTAGTAGTAGTAGTGTTTGATCTGGGGTTAGGTATTGAGTTGTCCTCTTGGCCAGGTCTCCCTTGTAAAAGATGTCTTCTGAACTCAATGGGACTTCCTGGATAAGTAAAGGTTAAATACAATAGTGTGATTATATATTTATCTGGTTTATTTCCAGATCGTATAGTGTGATTATATTGATCTTGTTTATTTCCAGATCGTATAGTGTGATTATATTTTCTCTTGTTTTATTCCAGATCGTATAGTGCGTGAGTGTAAGAAGGTGTTTGAGGATGTGTTGGAGGACTTCCATTCTCTGGACTGTATCAAGAGTCGTTTTGAGGTGTGGAGACGTCTCTACTTCACCTGCTACAGAGACGCTTACATAGGACTGTGTCTGCCAAAATTATTCAACCCCCTAGTACGACTACAGCTCATCACGTGGAACCCTCTACAGGTACGTGATACGGTCCGTGTGTGTGTGTGTGTGTGTGTGTGTGTAGACGGCCTATACTGGCCACAATTTTTAATTTGACTCACTAAGTAAACTAAACAAATCTCTCTTCTCTCCCTCTCTCTCTCTAGGAGAAGTGTGCGAACTTTGAGTACATGTTGTGGTTTGAGTCGTTGTTGTTTTATGGCTGTGAGGAGCAGAGTGGGATGCAGAGAGGAGACGTGGATATCAACCTGCTGCCTGCTATAGTGGAGAGAGTTCTACTGCCCAAACTAGCAGGTAACACATCAACCTGCTGACAGACTAGCAGGTAACACGTCAACCTGCTGCCAGACTAGACTAGCAGGTAACACATCAACCTGCTGCCAGACTAGCAGGTAACACATCAACCTGCTGCCAGACTAGCAGGTAACACATCAACCTGCTGCCAGACTAGACTAGCAGGTAACACATCAACCTGCTGCCAGACTAGACTAGCAGGTAACACATCAACCTGCTGCCAGACTAGACTAGCAGGTAACACATCAACCTGCTGCCAGACTAGACTAGCAGGTAACACATCAACCTGCTGCCAGACTAGACTAGCAGGTAATTCACATAAACCTGCTGCCAGACTAGACTAGCAGGTGGTTAAAACATCAACCTGCTGCCGACAGCAGGGAACACATCAACCTGCTGCCAGACTAGATAGCAGGTGGGGTAACCACATCAACTGGACGGCCAGGACTAGCAGGTAACACATCACCATGCTGCCGGACTAGACTAGGCAGGTAACACATCAACCTGTGCCAGACTAGAACTAGGCAGTAACACATTCAACTGCTGCCCGATAGCAGGTAAACATCAACCTGCTGCCAGACTTAGACTAGCAGGTAACATCAACCTGCTGCCAGACTAGCAGGTAACACATCAACCTGCTGACAGACTAGACTAGCAGGTAACACATCAACCTGCTGCCAGACTAGCAGGTAACACATCAACCTGCTGCCAGACTAGCAGGTAACACATCAACCTGCTGCCAGACTAGACTAGCAGGTAACACATCAACCTGCTGCCAGACTAGCAGGTAAAAACATCACCTGACTGCCAGATAGCAGGTAACACATCACTGCTGCCCGACTAGAGGTATTTTAACACATAACCTGCCTGCCAGACTAGACTAGCAGGTTACACACATCAAACATGCTTGCCAGACAGACGAGGCAGTAACACATCACCGAGGCCAGACTAGATAGCAGGTAAACACATCAACCTGCTGCCAGACTAGACTAGCAGGGTTAACACATCAACCGGCTGCAATTAGACTAGCAGGGTAACCAATCAACCTGCTGCCAGGAATAGAATAGCAGGGTAAGGTAACACATCAACCTGAACTGCCAGACTAGACTTAGCACGGGTAAACATCAACATGCTGCCAGAACTAGACTAGCAGGTAACACATTCAAACCTGAGCCAGACTAGACTAAGCAGGTGTAACACATCAACCTGCTGCCAGACTAGACTAGCAGGTAACACATCAACCTGCTGCCAGACTAGACTAGCAGGTAACACATTCAACCTGCTGCCGATAGGACTAGCAGGTTGGTAACACATTCAACCTGCTTGCCAGCTAGACTAGCAGGTGGTACACATCAACCTGCTGCCAGACTAGAATGTAACACATCAACCTGCTGCCACGACTAGCAGGTAGGGTAACACATCAAACATGCTGCCAGAATAGCATGTAAGGTACACATCAACCTGCTGACGACTAGACTAGCAAGGGTAAACACATCAAAATGCTGCCAGACTTAGACTAGCAGGTAACACATCAACCTGCTGCCGAAAAGGACTAGCAGGTAAACAACATCCAACCTGCTGCCAGACTAGACGAGCAGGGTAGGTAACACATCAACCTGCGCCCAGATAGACTAGCAGGTGGTAAAACAAATCAACCTGCTGCCAGACTAGACTAGAGGTTAGGTAACAACCATCAACCTGCGGCCAGAATGACTAGCAGGTAAAACATCAACATGCTGCCAGACGAGCAGGTAACACTCAACCTGCGCCAGACTAGCAGGTGGTAACACACAACCTGCTGCCAGACAGGCAGGGTAACACCTCAACCTGCTGGCCAGACTAGCAGGGTAAACATCAACCTGGTGCCAGACTCAGCAGGTAACAATCAACCTGCTGCCAGACTAGATACAGGTAAAACATCAACATGATGCAAGACAGCAGCGGTACACATCAACATGGTGCCAGACTAGGACTAGCAGGTGGTAACCACATCACCTGCTGCAAACTAGACTAGCAGGGAAACACTCAACTGCCGCCAGACTGAGACTAGCAGGAACACATCACCTGCTGCCAACCAGACTTAGCAGGGTACACCATCCAACCTGCTGCCAAGACTAGCAGGTAACACATCAACCTGCTGACAGACTAGAACAGCAGGGAACACATTCAAACCTGCTTGCCAGACTAGACTAGCAGGGTAAACACATCAACATGCTGCCAGAGAATAGACAGCAGGTACACATCAACCTGCGGCCCAGCCTAGACTAGCAGGAACACATCACCTGCTGCCAGATCTAGACTAGCAGGTAACACATCAAAACTGCTGCCAGCCTAAGCAGGGGAACACATCAAACTGCGCCCAGAAAGCAGGTAGGTAAAACATCAACCTGCTGCCAGACTAGCAGGTTAAACATCAACCTGCTGCCCGACTAGACTAGCAGGTAACACATCAACATGCTGCCAGACTAGCAGGTAACAAATCAAACTGATGCCAGACTAGCAGGTCAACCACATCAACTGCTGCCAGACTAGCAGGTAACACATCAACACTGTGCAGACTAGACTAGCAGGAACACATCAACTGGTGCAAGCATTTAGCAGGTGGTAAAACATCACCTGCTTGCCAGACTTAGACTAGCAGGTTAACACATCAACCTTGCTCCAGACTACTAGACTAGCAGGTGGTAAACACATCAACCTGTGCCAGATAGCATTGTTGGTGTATTATACATCATGTCAACCTGCTGCCAGACTAGAATAGCAGGAACCATAACCTCGCCAGACTAGACTAGCGGTAACACATCAACTTGCTGCCAGACAGACTAGCAGGTAAACATCAAACTGATGCCAGACTAGACTAGGCAGGTTAACACATCAACTGTCGCAGACTAGCAGGTAACACATAACCTGCTGCCAACTAGACTAGAAAGGGTAACAATTAAACTGCCTGCACAGACTAGACTAGGCAAGTGGTACACTCACCTGCTGCCAGACTAGACAGGCGGGGTTAACACAGCAACCGGCCTGCCAGACTAGACTAGCAGGTAAACACATCAACATGCGGGGGGGGGATGCCAGATAGCATGGTGGTAACACATCAACCGCTGCCAGACTAGAGGTAACACATCAACCTGACTGCCAGACTAGATAGCCAGGGTCAACACATCAACCTGCTTGCCAGACTAGCAGGTAACACATCAACCTGCTGACGACTAGGACAGCAGGTAACACATCCACTGCTGCCAGACTAGACTAGCAGGTAACACATCAACTGCGCCAGGACGAGAGGGGGTAAAACATCAACCTGCTGCCAGACTAGACTAGAGGACATCATCAACCTGTGCCAGACTAGAGGGGTAACATCAACATGCTGCAGACTAGACTAGCAGGTAACACATCAATCTGCTGCCAGATTAGACTAGCAGGAACACATCAACTGCTGCAGACTAGAAGGGAACACATCAAACCTGCTGAAAGACTAGACTAGCAGGTAGGTGGGTAACACATCAACCTGCTGCCAGGACTAGCAGGTAAACTCAACCTGCTGCATAATAGACTAGCAGGCGGTAACACATCAACCTGCTTGCCAGACTAGCAGGAAACACACAACATGCTGCCAGATAGACTAGCAGGGTAAACATAACCTGCTGCCAGACTAGCAGGTTAACACATCAACCTGCTGCAAGACTAGACTAGCAGGGTAACACATCAAACTCTGCCAGGACTAGACTAGCAGTGTAACACATCAACCTGCCTTGCCAGACTAGCAGGGGTACACATCAACCTGCTCAGACTATTTAGACTAGCAGGCTAAAACATCAACCGCTGCCAGACTAGCTAGCAGGGTAAGGTTAACACATCAAACCTGCTTGCCAGACTAGACATAGCAGGTAAAACACATAACTGCGCAGACTAGACTAGCAGGTAACACTCAACCTGCTGCCAGACTAGACTAGCAGGTAACACATCAACTGCTGCAAGAACTAGCAGGTAACATCACCTGCTGACAGACTAGCAGGTAAAACATCAACATGCTGCCAGGGACTAGACGAGAAGGGGTAACACATAAACCTGCTGCCAGACTAGACTAGCAGGGTAACACATCAACCCTGCTGCCAAATACGAGCAGAGGGTAACACATCAACCTGCGCCAGACTAGCAGGATAAACACCATCAAACCTGCGGCCAGAATAGACCGCAGGCGCGGTAACACACAACCTGCTGCCAGACTAGCAGGTAACACATTCAACCTGCTGACAGACTAGACTAGCAGAACACAGCAACCTGCTGACAGACTAGCAGGTAACCCATCAACCTGCGGCCAGGACTAGACTAGCAGGGTTAACACATCAACCTGCTGACAGATAAGCAGGTAACACATCAACATGCTGCCAGACTAGACTAGCAGGTAAACACATAAACCTGAATGCCAGATAGACTAGCAGGGGTGGTAACCATCAACCTGATGCAGACTAGAAGGTAGACACACACATCAACCTGCTTGCCAGCTAGATAGCAGTGGTAACACAATCAACCTCCCCCCTGACCAGACCTAGACTTAGAGGTAGGTGGTAACACATCACCTGCTTGCCCCAGACTGCAGGTTAACACATTCAACCTGCTGCCAGGAATAGCAGGTAACACATCAACCTGCTGCCAGACTAGACTAGCATGGTAACAAATCACCTGCTTTGCCAGACTAGACTAGCAGGTAACACATCAAACCTGCTGCCAGACTAGCAGTTGCGTTTGGGTTAACACATCAAACCTGACTGCGAATAGCAGGTAACACATCAACCTGATGCCGACCTAGACTAGCAGGTAACACATTCAACCTGCTGCCAGAATAGCAGGTGGTGGTAACACAATCAACTGATGCCAGGCCTAGACTAGCAGGTAACACATCAAATGCTGCCAGATCGCAGGTAACACCAACCCGCTGCCAACTAGACTAGCAGGTACACATCAACCTGCGAAAGACTAGCAGGTAACAAATAATAGTGTGGACTCATAAAATAGGAGAGAAAGCTCCATTGATGATGCTTTTAGGTCTGGGAAACCCCCTTGACAGCAGAAAATACGTTTTCTAAACTCTCTCTAGGGGGGAGGAAAAGAAAGAGAGAGAGAGAGAGAAAAAGAGAGGAGAGAGGAGAAAAAGACAGAGAGAGAGAGATCCCTCCTCTATCTGTCTCTCTACTCTGTCTCTCACCCTCTCTCTGTCTATTTCTCTCTATGTCTCTCTATCTGTATCCCTCTATGTCTCTCTCTCTGTCTCCATATGACTATAGTCTATTCTACCTATCTCCCTCTATCTGTCTCTATGTCTCTCCCTCCCTCTCTATCTCTCTCTCTCTCTCTCTCTCTCTCTCTCTCTCTATATCTCTCTATCGATCGCTATTGTCTTGTCTCTGTCTCTCTCTCACTCTCTCTGTCTCTGTCTCTGTCCTCCCTCTTCTCTGTTCTCTCTAAAGAGGGAGAGGAGAGAAAGAAAGAAAGAGATAGAAGAGAGAGAGAGAGAAAGGAAAGATCTCTCGCTCATCTATGTATAGACATATCTCTATGTCTCTACCTCCCTTTCATTCTCTCTCTTCTCCATGGCCAGCTGAGCAGGTGTGGGATCCTCTGTCCAATAGTCAGACAACAAGACTAGTGAGCTTTCTGACCAGACTCCTCAGAGGATACCCTACTGTCCTTAATGGAGAGAACAGGAACACACAGGTTAGTACCCTAGTCCTTAAGGGAGAGAAAACCAGCAACACACAGGGTAGTAACCTACTGTCATTAATGGAGAGAACAGGAACACACAGGTTAGTACCCTACTGTCCTTAATGGAGAGAACAGGAACACACAGTTAGTACCCTACTGTCCTTAATGGAGAGAACAGGAACACACAGGTTAGTACCCTACTGTCCTTAATGGAGAGAACAGGAACACACGGGTTAGTACCCTACTGTCCTTAATGGAGAGAACAGGAACACACAGGTTAGTACCCTACTGTCCTTAATGGAGAGAACAGGAAACTTTGTACCCAACATTCCCTCTCCCTCATCCCTCACCCGTCCCTCCCTCTCACCCCTCTCTCACCCCTCCCTCTGACCTCTCTCACCCCTCCCTCTCACCCCTCCCTCTGACCTCTCTCACCCCCTCTCTCACCACCCTCCCTCTGACCTCTCTCAACCCCTCCCTCTCACCCCTCTCTCACCCCTCCTCTCACCCCTCTCTCACCCCTCCCTCTGACCTCTCTCACTCCTCACCTCCTCACCCCTCCCTCTGACCTCTCTCACCCCTCCCTCTCCCCCCTATCTACCCCTCTCTCACCCCTCCTCTCACCCCCTCTCACCCCTCCCTCTAACCTCTCTCACCCTCTACCCCTCTCTCTGAACCTCTCTCTACCCCTCCCTCTCACCCCTCGCTCACCCCTCCCTCTGACCTCTCTCACCCCTCCCTCTGACCTCTCTCACCTCCTCCTCTCACCCCTCCCTCTGACCTCTCTCACCTCCATACCCTCTCACCCCTCCCTCCACCCTCCTACCCGTCCTCCCTCTTACCTCTCTACACCCCTCCCTCTCACCCCTCCCTCACCGTCCCCCTCTGACCTCTCTCACACCCTCTCTCAACCCCTCCCTCTCACCCCTCTTCAACCCTCCCTCCCTCTCACCCCTCTCTCACCCCTCCCTCTCACCCCTCCCTCCCTCTCACCCCCTCCCTCTCACCCCTCCCCTCTCACCCTCCCTCTCACCCCCTCCTCTGGACCTCTCACCCCTCCTCCCTCTCACCCCTCCCTCTCACCCCTCCCTCTCACCCCTCCCTCTGACCTCTCACCCCTCCCTCCCTCCTCACCCCTCCCCTCTCACCCCCTCCCTCCCTCTCACCCCTCCCGCTGACCTCTCTCACCCCTCCCTCTCACCCCTCCCGCTGACCTCTCTCACCCCTCCCTCTCACCCCTCCCTCACCCGTCCCTCCCTCTGACCTCTCACCCCTCCCTCTCTCTCTCACCCCCTCCCGCTGACCTCTCTCACCCCTCCCTCTGACCTCTCTCACCCCTCCCGCTGACCTCTCTCACTCCTCCCTCTTATCTCTCTGGCTCTCTCCCTCCTTCAGGAGTTTCTGAAGACCATCGTATTGAGGACTAGAAGGACTCTGGATGATGACGTGTTCTTACCTCTTTACCCCAAGAAGTGAGTCACAAACACAATTCTCTACTTGTCCCCTAATCCAGGGTTTCCCAAACTCGTTCCTGCCCCCCCCGGGTGCACATACATTTTATTTTTTTCTCCCCCGAACCCTACACAGCTGATTCAAATAACAAACTCACCATCAAGTTTGGGAAACCCTGGCCTAACCCATTCCTTCTAGTTGAAATGCCCCTATGACATGGTGATGACACAGTGAAAAAGAGAAATACACACTATTCAATGTCTGAGAAACCATTAGATTGGTTAGAGGAAGTATCTCTGTTTTGTTGTCTTCCAGTGTGTTGGAGAATAAGAACAGTGGTCCCTACCTCTTCTTCCAGAGACAGTTCTGGTCCTGTGTCAAGGTAAGGGGAAGGGACTGACTGGGTAAGGGGAAGGGACTGACTGGGTAAGGGGAAGGGACTGACTGGGTAAGGGGAAGGGGACTGACTGGGTAAGGGGAAGGGACTGACTGGGTAAGGGAAGGGACTGACTGGGTAAGGGAAGGGACTGACTAGGGGACTGACTGGATGTAAGGGAAGGGACTGACTAGGGACGACTGGGTAAGGGGTATGGGACTGACTGGGTAAGGGGGGAAGGGGACTGACTGGGGAAGGGGAAGGGACTGACTGGGGACTGACTGGGTGAGGGACTGACTGGGGTAAGGGGAAAGGGACTGACTGGGGAAGGGGATAGGGAATGACTGGGTGAGGGACTGACTGGGGTAATGGAAAGGGACTGACTGGGGAAGGGGAAGGGACTGACTGGGTAAAGGGAAGGGACTGACTGTGTAAGGGGAAGGGACTGACTGGGTAAGGGGAAGGGACTGACTGGGTAAGGGGAAGGGACTGACTGGGTAAGGGAAAGGGACTGACTGGGTAAGGGGAAGGGACTGACTGGGTAAGGGGAAGGGACTGACTGGGTAAGGGAAAGGGACTGACTGGGTGAGGGACTGACTGGGTAAGGGAAAGGGACTGACTGGGGAAGGGGAAGGGACTGACTGGGGACTGACTGGGTGAGGGACTGACTGGGTAAGGGAAAGGGACTGACTGGGTAAGGGGAAGGGACTGACTGGGTAAGGGGAAGGGACTGACTGGGGAAGGGGAAGGGACTGACTGGGTAAGGGGAAGGGACTGACTGGGTAAGGGGAAGGGACTGACTGGGTAAGGGAAAAGGGGACTGACTGGGTAAGGGGAAGGGAAGGGACTGACTGGGTAAGGGAAAAGGGACTGACTGGGTAAGGGGAAGGGACTGACTGGGTAAAGGGAAGGGACTGACTGGGTAAGGGAAAAGGGACTGACTGGGTAAGGGAAAAGGGACTGGACTGGGTAAGGGGAAGGGACTGACTGGGGTAAGGGGAAGGGACTGGACTGGGTAAGGGGAAGGGACTGACTGGGTAAGGGGAAGGGACTGACTGGGTAAGGGAAAAGGGACTGACTGGGTAAGGGAAAGGGACTGACTGGGTAAGGGGAAGGGACTGACTGGGGAAGGGACTGATGGGTAAGGGAAGGGACTGACTGGGTAAGGGGCAGGGACTGACTGGGAAGGACTGACTGGGTAAGGGACTGACTGGGTAAGGGAAGGGACTGACTGGGTAAGGGGAAGGGACTGATGGGTAAGGGGAAGGGACGACTGGGTAAGGAAAGGGACTTGACTGGGGACTGACTGGGTGAGGGACTGACGGGTAAGGGAAAGGGACTGACTGGGAAGGGGAAGGGACTGACTGGGGACTGACTGGGTAAGGGGAAGGGACTGACTGGGTAAGGGGAAGGGACTGACTGGGGACTGACTGGGTGAGGGACTGACTGGGTAAGGGAAGGGATTCTGACTGGGTAAGGGAAAGGGACTGACTGGTAAGGGAAAGGGACTGACTGGGTAAGGGGAAGGGACGACTGGGTAAGGGAAAAGGGATGACTGGGTAAGGGGAAGGGACTGACTGGGTAAGGGGAAGGGACTGACTGGGTAAGGGAAAAGGGACTGACTGGGTAAGGGAAAGGGACTGACTGGGTAAGGGAAGGGAAGGGACTGACTGGGTAAGGGGAAGGGACTGACTGGGGAAGGGGAAGGGACTGACTGGGTAAGGGAAAGGGACTGACTGGGTAAGGGGAAGGGACTGACTGGGAAGGGGAAGGGAAGGGACTGGGTAAGGGGAAGGGACTGACTGGGGAAGGGGAAGGGACTGACTGGGGAAGGGGAAGGGACTGACTGGGTAAGGGGAAGGGAATGACTGGGTAGGGAAGGGAAAGGGACTGACGGGGGAAGGGGAAGGGACTGACTGGGTAAGGGGAAAGAGGGACTGACTGGGGAAGGAGACTGGGTAAGGGGGAAGGGAATGACTGGGTAAGGGGAAGGGATGACTGGGGTAAGGGAAGG